CAAGCTCGAACTCTGGCGCTGCTGCAGGAGTCCTCATGGGCCCTTTAGAGGGGCCCCTTCTTCCCTCGAGAGGCCCCAGCGGCTGCAGACGGACAGGCGAACCCTCGATGAGGCTGCAGGCTCCGCGGGGGCCCCCGATGGCCCCACGACTGGACCCAAGTGGGCCCCTCTCTTCCGAGCCGCCGTGCCTGCAAGCAGGCGCAGCCAGCCCTAAACTGTGAGCTCTAACGCCAGAACTTAGTAGCAAAACGGCGAACTACCAAGTTGCGGACGGAAGGCTCTCTACTATTGAAGGGAACTTGAAGGCTTTAAGAGCATACGTGAAGGCCTCCTGGCTTGCAGACAGCAGCAACTGCCCTGCAGCTGTTTGTGAGTGTCGCAGCGGGGAAAGGGGAGGCCCTTGAGAGGCCCTGAGGGAGAGGGGCTGGCTCAGGACTCCTTGGGGGCGCCTTCGCAGCAACGAGAGTGGGCTGCGGGGGCCCTCAACTGAGCAGCAGCAGCAGAGCAGCACAAAACAACGACGCACTGAGGACTTGCGCTTGCAGGTGAAACTCCTGCTGCTGCTTCTGGAGCTGCCCATGCAGAACAGCTTATATTTCAGAGTTAAAGATTGAGGGCTCCCTATTTAGCGTCTCAGTTTGCCTCACCGCCGCTCCGAAGATCAAGGGGTCTCAGCAGGGGGCTGCCGGGGCTCTGCGCGGCAGCAGCAGGAAGCAGAAAAGACGGCGGAATAAAAAGCAGCGGTAGTAGCAGTAAAAGGTGGCAGGAGAAGCAGCAGCATGCAGCAGCAGAAAAAAAGACATTCTTACAGAAAGCAGCAAACGCAACCCTTCAGCTCCAACAAAAGAGCAGCAGCAGCAGCAGCTGCACCAGCAGCAACTGCGCCTACGGTGACGTCTTGTGACTTCTGGGGCCTTTGGCACTCCTTCACTTCAATGAGTTGAAGCAGCACTTGCTTGCCTTCAGATGTGACATCTGCTGGCTCTGTCTCCACGCTGCTGCCCGTGCTGCTGCAGCTGCTGCTGCTGTTACCGGGCTCTGGTTGCTGCAGTTCTGTAGACGAGACGCCGCCACTCGGCTGCTGAGATGCTTGGGCGTCAAACCAAATATCTTTGTCAACATCCTCTGCTTCGTCTTGCAGTTGCTGCTGCTGCTTTGCTTGCTGCTGATCAGTCTGCTGCTGCTGCTCTTTCTCTTGCTGCTGCTCCTCCTCCTTCTGCTGATGCTGCTTTTCGGGCTTCGTCTGCTGCTGTTCATTTGAAGCGCGAACAAACGGCTTTATGAATGACCGCAGCAGAGACACCACAGCTCCACCGCTTGGCTGCACCTGCTCCTGCTGCTGCCGCTGCTCCTGTGGCTCCAATCTAGCATTCGGAAAGTCCTCCTGCAGCTCGTGTTTCTGTTTCTTTTGCTGTTGCTGCTCTTGTTGCTGCTTCTCCCGTTTCTGCTGCTGCTGCTGCTGCGATATAAAGTGGACTTGGAGGAGGAGACTGCAACTGTGTGGCGCGCTACTGGGCGATTCTGGAAAAAAACGAGACAGCAAACCCCAAACCCTAAGCCATAAACCCTAAACATGGAACATGAATTCTTGAGCACTTCTCCAAACCTCGCAGGCGCCTTGCCATTGCATTGCCGCTGCTGCTGCAGAAGCTGCTGTTGCTGTTACTGTTGCTGCACCTGCGGCAGCTGCTGCTGTTACGCTGTTGTGTCTTACTTGAGAGGTTGATGAAGCTAAGGTGAGACAAATATTGGCTCTCGTTTGGCTCTGTGCTGCAGCAAACGCCCAGATAGAAATCGTTCGCGCAGCTGCCATGCATCACAGCAGCAGCAAAAGCAGCAAGAACAGCAACAGCAGTGACGGCAGTAACAGCAATAGCAGCAGAGATCTCCGCTCCTGAAACAGCCTTACTCGCGAAATGTCAGAAGCAACCGGAATGCACCAGGGGGGCCTCTAGGATCTTCTTCTGCGGACACGAGGGCCTCTCGGGGGCACCCACATTGCCTAAAGGGTTAGCGAAACAAATAGAACAACAGCAAACAGTGTGTCAGCAGCATCGCTGCTAGCGGCGTCAGCAGGCGGCAAAGCAAACCCTCGGCAGCAACAGCAGCAGCAGCCAAGAACCAGCCGCAGCGGCAACCTTCACAGGCAGCAGCAACAGCAGCGGCGTCGTACGGGCAATTAGGAGGGAAGGAACCCTTCCAGTGGGAGCCGCCGATGCGAATTGGCTCTCTTGTGACTGCAATGCAGCAAGAATCGTCGTCAATATCCGCTGCTGCTGCTGCTGCTGCAGCAGCAACGCGCAGGACTGCCACAGCATCCGGCAGCAGCTTGTCAGTCACGGCGGAGGACTCTTTGGGGGCCGCCTCTGCCTCCTTCTTGGGGGCCTCTTCATGCTGCAGCAAAACAAGGTCATCATCGTTATCTGCTGATGCAGCTGCCGGAGTTGCTGCAGCAGCAGGCGGCAAACAAGCAGCACCAACTTCAGGGCCTTCACTCCCCTGCTGCTGCTGCTGTTGCAGCGGCTGCTGCGTCGCTATGGGCGACGCTTCAGCCAGCTGCAGCAAAGAGGCAGCTTTGCGGCGAGGCCCTAGGCCTTCTCTTAAAGGTGACCCTGCGGGTGTGAGTGGGGCAATAAGGGCCCCCCTGACCAGCACTGCAGCGCTGCTGCTGCTGCTGCTGTTGGTAGCTGCTGCTCCTGTTGAAAGGGGGGATCCCAACGGCTGCTGCTGCTGCTGCAGCAGCGCAAGGCTCTCTGTGGAAGTTCGAGACAGCAAAGGGCTCAGGGCCTTCGGTCGGGAATGGCGTTGGGGCCCTTTGTGGTTGTCTTCATCGTATTCCGAGTCGCTACTGCTGCTGCTGCTGCTGCTAATCATACTGCTGCTGCTGCTCCTCTTGCTGCTGCTGGTGGGGCAGTCCGCGCAATCCGCCTTTGCAGGGCCCTGTCGCACCGGGGTCGTCGCCCGTCGTCTGCTGTTGGGTGTCTTCACCTGCCGCTGTTGCTGTTGCTGTTGCTGCTGCTGTTCCTCTTGTTGCTGCTGCTGTTCCGTTGCTGCTGCTGCGTTAGAGGCCCTGTTGCTCTGCGCAGTCTTCCTTCGGCGGTTACTGGGCCTCCGTACTGCTGCTGTGGGGCCTCCCGGGGAGGGCAGAGCAGCACCGCTTGGCCCTCTTTGCTGTTTTGTCCTTCGCTGAGTTGAAACGCGTCTAATTGGTGAAGTCCCAACAGGGGCCCTCGGGGGCCCCCCCTCGCCATCTACATCCATTTGGGGGGACGTGCTGTTGCTGCAAGGCTCTTTGCCTCTGGAAGCCTCCCTAATGCTGCCTGCTGGCGATGCGGGTGGCAGCAACCGAGTCTTCCGTTGTTGTTGCTGCTGCTGGAGCGGCTGCTGTTGCTGCGGTTCTTGGGGCGGCTCTGTGGACTCACTTGAGAGGTCTGCAGCGGTGTTCAGCGCCGCTAGGCTGCTGCTGCTGCTCGTCTTGCTGCTGTTGCTGTTGCTGTTGCTGTTCGCTCTACGCACCTTTAGGGGGTTCAGCGGCTTCAGGGGGGCCCCAGCTCGACACCCTCGGGGAGGACCCCTACGGGGGCCCCCCGGCAAGAGCCTAGCCCCCTTTGGTGGGGCACCCATGGACTTGGGCCCGTCGTCGCCGCATGCGTTGCTGCTGTTGTTGCTGCTTCTCTTGCTGGAGCTGCTAGTCCCGCAGAAGGTGCCCCTTCTGCTGCTCTGCGCGGCGGGCGAAGCCTCTCGAGGCAAAGAAGAGACGGAGGAGCCTCGGCCTACCATGTGGCGTCGCTGCTGCTGCTGCTTCGGTGCTGCTTTGCTGCGGCTGCTGCTGTTGCTGGTGCCGACGCTCCTCCGATGTGTGCCGGCTGTGTGCGGCTCGCTGCGGTGCAGTGGCTAAGCGAGTGGAGGGCCTCGAGGTTGTGGTAAGAAAATACCCTAAGGGTTTGCAGTGCTTGGAAATGAGGGTTTAGTGTGTCGGCGTCACGGGGTTTAGGGCTAATCATGTCTGGGGGTGGTGGGGTTGCCCCTTTCCTGAGACTGGCTCAGCAGCGGCATCCCCACGCTTCCCCCAGCTTCGAGTTTGAATTTAAATTTAGGGTTTCCGCTTAGGGCTTTGTGGCTTTGTTAGCAGGGCTATAGGCAGCCACTGCAAGAACCGTTGCAGGGGTGGCAGCAGCAGCAGCGGCAGCAGCAACAACAGTCCCAGGCCGATCGCGGCCACAGCGCATGCACGAAAACACTGAAATGAAGGACGCCACGCGGCTTAGAGTCTAGTGTTTAGGCGGCAGGCTCGAAATACGATTTTGGGTCCCACAAATACTGTTTAATGCTCAGCTTTCCCTTTTGTATCAGTGGGCCAGTTGCCGGGTGCCTGCAGCGGACGACTTGATGAGGAGAGGCGGCACCGGCAGCAGCAGCAGCGGCAGCAGCAACGGCAGCGGGTTCTGAAGACAGACTAAGCCCCCGCTACATTTTCTTCTGAATGTCCTCCGTTCGCTGTCCGCAGCTGCAGCGGTTGCAGATGCGGCAGCAGCAGCAACAGCAAGAATAACGAGGGCAACGCGCGGTCAGCGGCAAAGGCGACCACGCAGAGCAGCATGCTGAAGTGGCACAAGAGAGCGCAGCACCTGTGTGCCCAGTGCTCTCAGGCCCAGCAGTGGAAGTACTGAGCATCCGTAACAGCAGCAGCTGCTGCTGCTGCAGCAGCAGAAGCAGCAACAGCTCAAGTAGCAGCATCAGCAGCCTCAGCGGAAGCAGCAACAACTTACGGAGCAGCAGCAAGAGTAGCAGCAGCTGAGCAGCTGCAGCGGCAACTCCGCGCCACCTGCTCTTCAGCCATCACGCCCACACTAATAGCAATAACTGTATTACTCACAGTTAAAGTAATACGAATACTAATACCAGTACTCGTTCTAGTACTAACACTAATACTAGTGCTACCACAGCAGCAACAAGAATAGGAAGAACACTAGAATTGGCGATCTTTCGGGGCCGCGGCGATGTCGGAGGTCTACGTGCACGAGCCCTCCACTGCGGGCAAAGTGGTGATGCACACCTCGATGGGGCCTCTGGACATAAGCCTGTGGCCGCGGGAGACGCCCCGGACTTGCCGCAACTTCGTGCAGCTTTGTCTCGAGGGCTACTACGACAACACAGTCTTCCACAGGCTCATTCCGAATTTCATAATTCAGGGAGGTGACCCCACGGGCACGGGCACGGGCGGCAGCAGCATATATGACGACCCGGAGGAGGACGACGTGGGCGCTGAGGGGCCCCCAGGGGGCCCCTCGGGGGCTCCCAAGCACAAGGAGGGGCCCCTCACCCTTGAGCTCAACTCCAGACTCAAATTCAGGTACCGCGGCCTCTTGGGGGCGACGACGTTTGAGGCCCAGGGAGGCCACAAGAAAGGCCATGAAGGGTCCTCGCCAGCAGGCGCTAGGGGCCCCGAGGGGGCCCCCGCGGCTCCGCGGGTGGGGAGTCAGTTCTTTTTCACCTTAGGGAGAGCTGACAGTCTGAATGGTAGGTACACTTTGTTTGGCAAAGTAAGTGGCACCTCGCTGTTCAATTTGCTGCGCATGGGGGAGCTGCCCATAGACAAGAACGACAGGCCCAAGGACCCCCCCCGAATAATTCGAACGGAAGTTGTGTGGGACCCCTTTGGCGACATTGTGCCCAGGGTTCTGCCGCAGCAGCTGCAGCAGCAGGAGGAGGAGGAGGAAGAAGAGGAGCAACAGGAGAAACGGCCGCAGCTAGCGGCCCCCAAAGTTGCGCTGCTGTCCTTTGCGGAGGAGGATGAAGACCTGCAGCTGCAGCAGCAGCAGCCGAAGAGTAAGGGTGTTCTTAGCGCCCACGACTTGCTGGAGGACCCCAAACTCTCGAAGGAAGCCCCTCCTGGGACATGGCAGCAGCAGCAGGAAGCAGCAGCAGAGAGGCTCAAGGCCCGCATAGCTCTGCTTGCCGCCGGTAGCGGCAAGACAGCAGCAGCAACGGCTCCTGAAATTACGGATGATAGCAGCAGCAGCCGCAGCAGCAGCCGCAACAGCAGCCCCAGCAGGAGCCACAGCAGGGGCCGCAGCAGGAGCCGCAGCAGGAGCCGCAGCCGCAGCAAAGAGAGCCATAGAGCCTTCCGTCGTCCCCTACCCCTGCCACCCACCCGCAAAGATATTGCTGCTGCTGCTGCTGCCTTGCCGGACGCTGACTTGCTGACGCCTGCGGAACAGCGACGTCGGTTGCTGCTGCTGCAGCAGCGGTCTCAGAGCACCCAGAGGCGGCAGGCTGAGACCCTGGAGAAGTTGCAGGCATTCCGGCAACAGGTGCGCCCAAACTCTAAATCGTAGACAAAAACCCTATATCTAAACTGTATACCTAACTGGGCAATAAACCCGAGACCCGAGAAAGCTGCGTTGCGTTGTGCTGCTGCTGCGACTGCGCTCAGCTACAAAAACTGCAGAGCAAAACCGACAAACGCAATAAACCCAGCAGTAGCAGCAGCGGCAGTAGCAGCGGCAGTAGCAGCAGCAGCAGCGGCAGCAGGAAGAAGCAAGACAAAGCTTTAGAAGCAGCGAAGGAAGCTGCAGCGCGAGCGACCGAGCCGTTGCTGGGCCACCCTGTGGCTGAGTCCGCTGCTGCTGCTGCCGCTGCAGCAGCGGAGGGACCCGAAGCAGCAGCAGCCGTCGCAGCAGCAGAAGAGGAAGACGACTCAGATCCCTCGTGGTTCATGACAGGGGGTCTCACGTTCGCTGTCGACAGCAGCACCGCCTACCGCTTTGATGCAGCAAGGAACAACTTAGAGGTGAGGGACCCCCTAAAGAACAAACTCTTCGCGGATGACCCTAAAGCCAAACTCAGGAAGAACCAGCTGCCCTATGACAAAGGGCCGCGGGAGCTGGAGAACTGGTAGCAGTAGCAGCAGCAGCACATGCAGCTGCACCTGTGGGGATGCAGCAGCAGCTACTGCGACCAGCGCTGCAGCAGCACAACCAGCAGCCCGTGCTCGACCAGCAGCAGAGCTGCAGCAGCATCGCCCACAACAGCACTACATATGTGGACACGTAAGAAACAGATAAACCTAGCAAAGTCATGTTGGTTAAGAAAAAGGCATAGCCAACTAGTGGCTTCTTCTGCCGCTGCTGCGTGCTGCTGCAGCAGGAGCTGCAACAGCAAGCAGCAGGACCTGCAACAGCAGCAGCAAACCAGGAGCGGCGCTTGGGCGCCGTCCCAAACGCCCTGAGGTCCAAGGGGCCCCTCGCAGCTGCTGGAGCAGCAGCAGCCGCTACCGCAACTGCTGCTGACATAATTTCCCTATTTGACTCTCAGTTTCGTAAATGGCTTACGAGCGGTGGAATTTACGTAGTTCTCGACAGCCCCTGCTGCTGCTATTGTTGACACCCCAGCATACTGCTGGGACCGCAGCAGAAGCAGCAGCAGCGGCGCAGGAGTCGGCGCCGCTGGATGTGCTCTGCCTGACTCAGCAGCAACAGCTGCTCAGCTATTATGCAGCAGCAAGGCCTCCCCCATTAAGTCGTTGCTACTGCTGCTGATTCAGTAAAAGGCTCTGAGCACTCCGTTACTATTCTGCGGTCGCTTCCGCTGCTGCAGCATCTTGCTGCTGCTGCGTCGTGGCCGGTGCCAGGCACGGCTCTCCTTGTTCCTGCTGTGGCTGATGCTGCAGCAGCAGCTGCTGCTGCTGCTGCTCCTGAAGTGGCTGTGGCTCTTGTTGCTGCTGCAGACCTTGCTGCAGTTCTTGCTGCTGCTGCTGCTGCGCCTGTTGCTGCTGTTCGGTCTTCAGGACCTGCTGAGCATCGGCATGTTGCAGCAGCAGTAGCTGTTGCTGAAGTAACTGCTGCTGCAGCAATTGCTGCTGCAGCAGCTGCTGCTGAATCTGCTCAGTGAGCTCCTGCTGCTGCTGGCCGTCCTTCAGGGGCAGCAGCTGCAGTGCCGAACTATCTGTTGCTTGCTGCAGCAGCAAACCGGAGTCCTGCAGCGGCAGCGAGAAGCAGTGCAACGGGTCCTGCCCCACAGCAGCAGCAGCAGCAGCAGCAGCCGTATCCTTCACTCCGGCGTCCGTCTGCTGCTGCTGCTGCCCGGCGCACGATGCCAACAGAAGCTCATGCTGCAGCAGCAGCCTCTGCTGCTGCCGCAGCAACGCCTCGCTGCTGTTGGTGTCTTCTGCTGGCTCCCTGCTGCTGCTACTGTTCTCTTGCAGCAGCTGCTGCGCTCCCAGCAGCAAAGGCTGTGTTGGAGACCCCGATGGAGCAGCTGCAACATCTGAAGGAGGTGCTGCTGTTGCTGCTACACCGAGGGCCTGCTGTTGCTGCTGCAGCTCTGCTTCTCGTTTCAGCTGCAGCAGCATCTGCTGCTGGACTGCCATCTCCGGCAGCAGCAGCAGCTTCGGGTCGTAGTCAATAAAAGACATGGTAGGATTCGCACCTGCTGCAGCTGCAGCCGCTGCTGCCTCCGACTGCACTGCCAGCTGCAGGAGCTGCTGCTGCTGCTGCTGCAGGCAAAATTCTTCGGCCCTTCTTTGGGCATCTGCGTGGCCATACTTACGTACGCTGAAGCGCCGCACAACCTGCAGCAGCAGCACACCGCCACCGCAAACACCAAAAATCATTGCTGCTGAGGCTGCTCCAGCTGCTCCTGCAGCTGCGCTTGCTGCCACTGCTGCTGCAGTTGCCACAAACGTACCTGCTTCCCAGTAGCCTTATCTGTGACAACACCTCGCCAGCAGCCCCGCGTCGATTCAAAAACAACACCCTTAACTCCGCTTTGCAGCCGTTGTTGCTGTTGCTGCTGCTGTTGCTGCTTGCACGCCGCTGCTGCTGCTGCTGTTGCTGCAGCCGCAAAATCGTCCTCCGAGGAGAGAGGGCCCCCGCACTGCTGCTGTTGCTGCTGTAGCTGGGCAGCCAAGTCCGCATCACCCGTTGCAGCTGCCGCTGCGGCACAACACATCAGCAGCAACACCACGCACTGGATCTACCGCAGCAAACTGCTTTCGATAGACGCGAGGGTTTAGGGTTTGGACGGCCTTCGGGAACTCGCCTATTCAATTTAGCGCCGCGACACTGGCGCTCTGCACGCTAGCGCCTGTGGCTTAGGGTTTAGGGTTTACAAAGTAAACTTACCCTCCTTGAGCTCCTTAGCAATCGACTCAGCCAAAGTTTTGGCCCTCAGAAACCCAAACTTGTTGACTGAAAAGCAGCGCGAGTACTCTCGCCCTGCGCAAACCCCAAACCTTAAACCCTAAACCCTAAATTTTAAACCTTACATTCTAAACTTGAACCCCTTACCCCGAAATCACAGAGCTGCAATTCCCCGCCAGGGCACCCTCAGTCGCAGGCCGTAAGCCCGCAGAAGGATCCATTTACATGAACCCTAAACCCTAAACCCTTGCGCTTAAACCCATACCTGTCTCAGTGTCTTTCCAGCGAAAGCGCCAGCCACAATGAGGAGTCGCCCTGAAAGAAACCCCTGGCACATCACTTAGAAACTTCGCATCACCTGCTGCAGCAGCTGCTGCAGCTGCTGCTGCTTCGCTGTTCCACTGGGCGTTGTTGCTGCCCTGCTGCTCCTGAAGCAACGCTGCTGCCGCTGCTGCCGTTGCTGCTGCTCTCTCCTCCAGCCACAATGCAGTCGCAGACGAACATCGCACCGCATCGCGGGCTCCCTCCCCGCCGTCACTGCAGCAGCCCTCATGCTGATGCTGCTGCTCTGCTGCAGCAGCAGCTGCTGCGGATGGCGCAGCGGAAGATGCCGTCCCTGACATTTCCGCTGCTGCTGCTGCTACGGCGGCGCTGCTGCTGCTGCTGGAGGCAGCAGGCTGCTGCCCCCGCACGCGTTTTGCTCCTCTTGACCTTGGCGCCCTTCCGCCGTTGCCGCGCTTGGGAGCCTGCGGTGCGGCTGCTGCTGCTGTGGGGAAGCTGCTGCTGCTGCTAATTGGACGCCTGCAGTAGCGCACAGCAGCAGCGAGCTGCGCCACAGCATCTGCTGCTACGCCTGCGTGTTTTGCTGCCAAGTCCGCTGAGGCTGCTGCCTCCTTGGCCGATGCTGCTGCTGCTTGGGTTGCCTGCAGCAGGTTCAGGGACTCTTGCTGCAGCAGAAGACGCAGATCCGAGCCGAGCAGCTGCGGTCCCAGCGACCCTACAGCTGATGCTGCTGCTTCCGCAGCAGCTGCTGCTGCTGCATTGGAAGCACCCAAATCACCAGCAGCAGGTGCTGCTGCTGCTGAGGTAAAATCGACTGCGGCTTGCCCTTCTGCTGCAGCTGTTGCTGCAGTCATACGGGCGCTGTTTACTGCTGCTGCTGCTACCTCCTCCACAACAACAGGAGGGGATGCTGCTGCTGCCGCCTCTGCGGCTCCCGTTGCCGCCGCGTCCGTTGTGGCTTGTGCTTCCGTTGCTGCTGCTGCAGCTTCTGCTGTTGACACTGCAGCGGCAGCCTCGCTGCTCTGTGTATCCGTTGCGGCCGGCATTTCCACAGCAGTGGCAGCACCAACGATTGCTGCTTCAGTTTCCTGCACGCCGCTGCTGCTGCTGCTGGCAGCAGCAGCACTGTCTTGTCCTGCCGCCTGCTGGAGGAGAGTCGGCGAATCCACAACAGAAAAAGCAGCAGCAGCAGCTGCTGCTGCTGCTTCAGGCGTGTTGGAAGGGTCTGTTGCTGCAGCAGAGTCCACAGCTAGGGTCTTGCTGGTGCTGTTGCTGCCGCCGTTGCTGCTGCCGCCAGTACCCGGACAGGAGCAGCAAGAGGTGGGCGTACAGCTTGCCGTAGTGGTTTGGTCTCCGTCCGCTGCAGCTGCAGCAGCAGCAGGAGGCAGCCAGGGCGGCGCGACTGCAGCAGCAAGCGCACCGGCAGGTGCTGCTGCTACTGCTCCCTCTGTCCCGTCTTCCCCAACGGAAACAAGCGGCTGCGGCTGCTGCAGCAAAAGCTGCTGCTGCAGCAGCGTGTCCACTTGGGACATCTCTCCAACTAGCAATCGCCCACGGCCTCTGCTGCTGTATCGCTGCTACTGCCTCTCCCAGTGCCGTTGCAGAAAACAAGTGCTGGTTTTGGAAAGTAGCCCTTGTGTCCAATTCGGCGGCGAGCTGCGCCTTCCGGGCAGCCCATCGTGTACCTAGAGGAGCAGCTGCTGCAGCTCCTGCTGCTGGGGCTGCGGTGGGCCCTGCTGCAACTGTGCGTTGGCAAGGCGGCAGCAGAAACAGCAGAGAAACAGCAGATTGGTTGGTCCAAAAAAGCTCCTTTGGAGCGCGCCTATAAGGCTCAGAGGGACTCAGACAAACGAATCGAAAAAAGGATGGAAGTGAAGTCACGAAGCAGCACCAGGGGGCCCCTCCAACGGCAGACTGTGCCCTTCAGCTGCAGCAAGAGCTGCAGCTTCTGCGGGCTTGCTGCTGCAGCAGCTAAACAATAAAGCAAACTGAGTACAGCAGACCGCTGTGGGTGCTATACTTGACACCTTCGTCGCTGCTGCTGCTGTCGCTGCTGAACGAATCCCGAGGGCTGCCGTCGTAGCTGGCGTGCCGCAAAAGGCAGCAGCTGCTGCAGCTTGTGCTTAATCACGCATTATTTAAAGTTTAGAGTAAAATAACTCTAAAACGTATAAAAGCCGAGCAAACGAAACACAAAACAAACAGCCCCCCACCCCGTTGCCCCTACGGGGGCCTGCAGTCACTGCGCGGGGCGCCGGTGGGTACACGGGGCCCTCCCAGCATGTGCTGTTGTGGTTGTTTCGTTTTAATTTTCCGCTTTGTTTGTCCTTAGCGCTTGTTCTTATCCTTAAGCTTTGCCTATACCCCTTATAAGTGAGCTCTGTGACGTTTTTGATGTCAGCAAGTTAGGTGATGCTGTAGTTCTGCAGCAGCGGCTACCACAGCGAGAGCAGTACGGGCGCTGGCTAGAGCATACACTGCAGACCGTTTCACACTCCCTTCGAAAAATTTGCCGGTTCTTTGGAAGGTTTTTTTACTATTTGCCTGTTGGCTTTGCTGCCTGGCCGCTGTGTCTCCCGCTACAGCTGCAATGCGGCAGCAACACCAGCCACACTTTGCTGCTGCTTCCGTTTCGCTGGCAGCGGCAGTTTGTGCAGAGTTTAGTGCCCCGCCAAGCCTCCCAAATGATGCAACGCCTTGGATAATCTAATGTAGTAGAAACTCAAGGCCCGAAGGAGCCCGCTCCTTCTCCGTTCACTCATCTCTTCACAAGACTGCACTGCACCGTGATACCTGCAGTCTAGTGCAGCCTAGGGTCTGCTGTTGGTAACCCTAAACCGCAGCGCTGCGCCTCCGCACTTCAGCTTCAGCTGCCGCTAGAGCCCTTCGCTCTCAGTCGTGCTGCCCCACAGGCGGCCGCGCTGAGTGAACGCTGTTAGTGGCGATACAGCTGTAGTCCAGTCCTCACGGGCTTCACTCAGTCCCAGATGGACCTCATACATGTTTATGTATATACGTGCGAATATACACGCATTCGTATATGTATACAAATATATATATAATGTTCATTTGTACGTGTATGTAGATGTACAGATGTCCTGTACGCATCATTGGCATATACACATATGGTATATATACATATGGATACGTAGAAATGTACATAACTACACGGAACACCTATATATATAAGAAACACGCATAACGGGTTCCTCCTGCTTGCGCGCCTTTTCGGGTTTTCACTGACACCGTTTTCCCCCAATGTTTCGTTTGTTTGTCGTTCGTTTGTATCGTATGGTTGCGCGCTTGCGGGCACAACATTTCCCTCTGGATCCACTCAGTGAGGCTTGTTATTGAGTCCAGCAGAGAGTTTGCCAAGAGACAAGTTGTTAAACGTAATACAAAGTGATTCTTCCCTGCAGCTAGCTAGCTAGCTGCTAACCAGCTAGCTAGCTAGCTAGCTAGCTAGCTAGGAGACCCCTCGATTTTCGCTGCGTAGCTACGCCTCTTTTCGTTCCAAGTTATGTTCTTCGCTATTTCAGCTGCTGCTAGCTAGCCGTGTAGAAGAGTGGCTCCCCGCGTCGGCCCACCTCTCTGCACCTTCTTGGAGCTCCCACCGCCGTTTCCTGTGGATGGTCTCATCTGGCAGGCCGAAGCTAGCTGCAACAGCTAGCTGTAAGTTGTGACGGCAGGGGGCTTCAGCTGCATGTGTCAAAGGTCCCGTGCACTCAAGTAGCTCGCCACAGCTAGTTACCCATGCTAGGGGCCCCCCAACCGTAGCTAGCCTGGGGCTGCATGCAAGGTCTCTGCGTCAGCTGCCCTCTTTACTGGGCCCCTTGTGCACCTCCGCTTGCTTTGGTTTTGTTGCCGCTCAAGCTGATGCTGCTGCTCCTGTTGCTGCTGCTGCTGCTCGTGCAGCACCAAGTCCTCTTCAGTCAAAAATCCCCCGAGGGCAACTTCGAGGGCCTCCGCTCTATCCTCTTCTACTGTCTTTGCTGCGCGCTCCCACAGTGCTTCCTCGTAGTCCCTGTCCTCTGTGGCCCCACAACCTGGCAGCAGGCCAACAAAGGGGCAGCTTGATGTGGCTGCTGCTGCTGCTTGTGCTCCACTTGCTGCTTTTGGTGACCCCAGAGGGCTACTTCTGGGGGACGCGGCGGCATCTGACGCCGCGTCACACGCAGCGGCAGCGGCTGCAGCAGTGCTTGGCTCTGCAGCAGCTGCTGTTGTGGTTGAGGTACAGTTGGGAGCAGCAGCCGCTGCTTCCTCCTCGACCTGCAACAGCTGGTGGAGGTCTTCGAGGGAAAGTCGCTGAAGCAGAGGACAACAGTGAAACGGGAGGTAGCTGCTGCTGCTGCTGAAACAAAGCCACCAGCAATGCACAGCTCCTGCTGCTCATAAGCAGCGCTCTAGAAAAGCTCCCGGTGCTCTTCTGATCTTCTGATAGTCCTTGCTGGGGATTCGCGCTCAGAGTCAGAGCTAAATGTTAAGTTAAGTTCTTCCCCAATGGCTTGCGAGTTGCAAACTAGCGGCTGCATTCCAGTTATGTGTTTACGTTTACCATCCAAGCTTTAGTGGTTATCAGGCTTTAATTTACGCTTGGGCTCTGGCCCTGGGTAAACAGTACCTCGCAGAGTAGGGCCTCGCTGGAACTTTTTGAGGCCTTGCGGGTTCGGCGCAGTTGCGCTACTCGCTCCTCCACGGTGTCCTTAACAATGAACCTGCAGCGGAAACCCTAAACGCTAAACCCTTCTCATGAAGCGCTGAGCTAGCCAAATCAGCGTTGTGTCTGTACAGAGGCTGGCCTCTCCTCAAGCTAAGAACAGCAGCGCCAGTGCACAACACGCTTCAGATATATACAATTTAGGGATTGCGGCTTAGATTTTAGGGTTTATCGTTTGCTACCTCCAGACGTGCGTTTGCCTTGTTTGTGAGATCCTGTACACCCTGCCGATGGCCTGCGTCTCTTCTGCTGCGTTGAGGGGGAAGTCAACAAAGAGAACGTAGCGAGCAGCTGTGAGGTTGAGGCCCCTTCCAGCCTTTCGCAGGCAGCACAGCAGCACCTGGGGACCCCCTTCGCTGGTACTGCTGCTGAAGGCTTTTATTGCTGCTACTTCCTTCCGAGACCCGTAGTAGCACAAGCTGCTGATATTCAACTGGCGCAGAGAGGAACGAAGCAGCAGCAGCACTTCTCGCCACTCGGAGAACACTAACACTTTTTCACCTTCTTGTTCCTGTTGCTGCGGCTCCAGCGGCTGCTGCAGAATTTGCACCTGCTGGCTTCCATCCCGCTGCTGCAGCCGTTGCTGCAGGTCTCGTGGCCTAGAATGCTTCAAGGCTTGGTTCGGCTGCTCCGTGCTACTGGGGGTCAACCCTGGGGACCCCAGGGCTCCCTTCGCGCCTTGCGGGGTCCCCACCAGCTCTACAATTTTGTTGATGACAGCAGCAAACTTCGCGGAGTGTGGCCCCTGGCCACCTCGGCCTTCCTGCAGCAGCAAGAGAGTCAACAGCAGTAGTCACACAGCAGTAGTCACAATCACAGCTTCCGGTGTAAATCGCCGGCGCAGCCACAGAAGAAGAGCAGCCCTCTCAACATAAGCAAACCACACGCAGAATGTGCTTTTAAGTACACCGACACCAGTCTGCAAGGGCGCGCAGGCTGGTCAGCTGGAAGTTATAGAACACACATATACATGTGATGTGTAGATACACACTGTACGTACACATACGTAAGGCCGTGTACAATGTGTATGTTCATACATATGTACACATATGTGTGCTCATTCAGCATTACGAGTAAGTGCCTGAAGGTACATGGACGGTTCACAAATAGTGCGATGCTACTAAAACTGCACCGAGTCAGCGCACCGCGGCGCCTGCAGGCATGCGTTCGGGAGAGGCTGAGCGGGAGCGGCTAGGCAGTCCTTGCTGTTGTGTTTGCTGTTGCTGCTTTGGACCTTGCGGATGCAGTTGATCTTTGTGCTGCTCGGCTGCTGCTGCAGTGGACGAAGTAGCAGAAGCAACAAGGGCAGCATCTGATAGGCAAAATTGGTGACGGCAAATTGCACACTTTAGGATGGGACCTTGCTGGCGCTGCTGTTGCTGCTGGCGCTGCTGCTGGCGCTGCTGCTGCTGCAGCTTCTGCAGGCACGATAAACACATCGAGTGCCCACAAGGCAGGACCACCACACATCCCCGAGCCTGCATTCTTTGCAGACATATGGGGCAGCGCAGCGGGTCCTCATCCTCGTGCTGCTGCGGCTGCTGCTGCTGTGGCTGCTGCTTTTCCAGCTGCTGCTGGTCTTGGCCTTGAACTGATTGCTGAATGCGGCCCTGTAGCTCCCCCTCCTTGTGATGCGGCTGCTGCTGCCCTAACTCTGCTCTGACTGTTGTGCTCTGCTCTGGCAGCATTTGCTGCTGCGACTGCAGCTCTAATTTCAGGCGTGGTCGCTCCTGCTGTTGCTGTGTAGTTTTTTGTTCCTGATTCTGCTGCTGCCTCGCGAGCGCAGCAGCGGCAGCACGGGATGCCCTGTCCATTGCTTCTAGAGTTCTATAGGGACCACATCCGATGCTGTTCCCTGCTGCGCTTGTTGCTGTTGTCCCTGCGCTGCAGTCTGTAGCCGTTGGAACCCCATCTTTAATCCGAATATCAACAACAGCATCAGCAGCACCAGCAGTAGTAGCACGGAAAGGACTGGGAGCAGCAGCTGGCGAAGAAAGGTTAGGAGCATGGGCATTTTCACCGGCAGCTGCTGCACAAATATGGTATGCAGTTGCTGCTGTTCCAGGAACAGTAGCCGCGGCAGCAGCACTAGCAGCTCCGCCAGCAGCAGAAAGGGCAGCAGGCGCAACAACAGGCTTGTGTTCCTTGGCTTTAAGCCCCTTAAGAAACTGATAACGAGTAAACGTCACGGAGATTTGGTTCTTAGAAAGGCTCAACTCGCCCAGAAGCTGCGAAAGGACACAAGACACCTCCAGGGGTCCCAAGGCGCACCGCTGCTGCAGGAGCTCCTGACGTAGCGATAAGCCGTCACCTGCTGCGCCATCTGCTGTTGCTGGCGCAGGCAGTGGCCGTGCTCGGTGTGCTGATGAGGACGGGAACGCTCCGCTTGCTGCTGCACATGTTGCTACTGTGCCTGCTGCTGCTGCGCCTGCTGCCGCTGTATCTATTGCTGCCACATCGGTTGCTGCTGCTGCTGCGCCTGTGGTTTTAGCTGCCATTCCGCCTACCGGAGGAGCACCTGCTGTTCCCCCTACCACTGCCCCTGCACCGGCTGCTGCTGCTTCTTCCGGTGCACACTCTGGGGTCTTCAAAAAGAACCTAGAAACAGACATTTCCAGCTCGTCAAAGGCCGAAAGAACGCCGCGGCTTCCCAGCAAGTAGCTCCCAGCAGCAGAGAGTTCCTAATAAAGCAACAACAGCAACATTTTGAGAAAGTAATACGGAGCTCCACATGTTAAACCGCATGCCACAGGCACAAATAAGAGGCTTTTGTGTGCCACAGCTTTTAGTTATGTGGCTTCCTAGTAAGTAAGCAACGGCACCTGATGACCCCTGCTACAGCAATGCAAACTTGTAATTCTCAAGTTGTCTCGGCGCTTTCATGAATGGAATGAAAAGCCAACAATAATCGAACTCTAGGCTTCAACAGGGCGAGCAAACAGCCCATCCATCTGGTGACTATAAGGGCTAAACGCTAAGTGATCCAAATTTGCAACGCTGACCCGTTTAAGACACTCCAGTTCCTTCAAGTGTTCGTCTGCTGCTGCAGCAAAAAGACCTCCTTGAGGGCCGCCCAAAGATGCATCTTTGCGCAGCAAGCTGCTGAGTAGCTGCAGGCAGCGGACTAGCTCGCTGTCGCCGTAGTGATGGTATCCTTCCTACGCAGCCGCACGCAGCACAAACCCTAGACTGCACACCCTAAGCCCTAAACCCGAAAACATCGTCTCTTAATACGAAATGATAAGCAGTAGATATAAAGAAAGACCTACGATGTTAAGGCTCGAAGGATCCGCTGTTACAACGTCGAGGTTCTTCGAAACGCGGTTGTAAAGGAAGTACTGCAAACTGCAGCCACAAAGCATGCAGCCTCAACTCTAAACCCTCAACCCTACATCCCACGCCTATGACAACAACGGATTAAAATAGACGAATGCAACGGCATGCCATGAAGAAGAATGAAGTTTTGGTGGGCGGCCCTATGCAAAAACGCTAAGGGTTTAGGAATTAAGGATCTCACTCAGAGATCTGTTGCGCGGCAGTGCAGTGGAAGCACAGACCACACAATGGGCCATCATCGGCGCCTCCTTTCTTTCTTCGTTTCCTGGGGGACGCGGCAGAAGCAGCCAGTTGCTGCTGCTGCAACAGGAGATGCTGCTGCAAGGAGATTTGCGTGTTGCGGCTCTTCCGCTGCTGCTGCTGCTGCCGCTGCTGCTGCTTCTTGCGCAGCTCGTACAAGTCTGCCTGACACAGCTCGTTGCAGCGCGGGCAGCCCCCAAACGCTGCCTGCATATCTGCGGAGGGCCGTCCGTGGTGGTCAAGAGCTTCCAGCGTCTGCAGCAGCAAACAATTCGAATTCCAAAGCCAGTCCCACATTCGAACATACAAAAGAAGCGACGCAAGATAAAGCCCGGGCCTTCAACGACTATTCAACGACTATTTCAAAGCGGCTCAGACACATCGGCAGGACAAAAACAAAAGAATTTGCAGATAGCAAGTGCCGGCCACGAAGGCGCTCTAAGCTCAAATGGGGCCAATGGTGCCCCCCACTAATCTGAGTTGCTTGTGCACCTATGGGTGACAGAGCTGTGATGAGGCCCTGCAGTACTGCATTTTCGAGTGCAAGGGTCGCATGCTCCCGCTAAGTAGGCATAAACCACGAACGGCCAAGCAAAGAGTTCTTAAACAGGCGGCCCCCTTTTGGGCCCTTGACCACCGTACCCATAGGCCCTTTCGTTGTTACTCTCTGGGGCCTTTTTGGTACCGCCTGGTGCCCCAGGTCCCTCTTGCTGAAACCACTGCGAAAGCGCACGGCTAAGGGGACCCCTACGGTGCTTAAGCTACGTACCTTGATGAGTTGTTCTCTCCTTTCGTCGAGTTCATCTAATCTCATCTCGAGGGCCCCTACGAGGCCCCTGCAAGTGGAGACGCCTCCCAGGTGCAGCCGGCGGCCTATAAAACCCGTGGGAACTGGCGAGGCTCTGTACTCCCCGCAAGAGCCTCCGCGCAGGTTGGCTAGCTCCTCCCGCACTCTGCACCACAAAGTCCAGACTCTTACTGCTAAATAAGACTTTTAGTCCCAAAGAAAAAGGAATATGCAAGTGGCTGTGGGAATGTCTTAACAGCGCCCGATTATTGCCTTGCCACTTGGAGGCTGGGCTGCAGAGGCACGAACTAGCAGAAGCACTAGCTAATGAGTTAAGTCGCCAGGCTCTAGTTAAGGGCTCGTGGCTACCTGAGGGCTACAGCCCGGCTGCGTTCGTCATCTAGTGTCGCAAAAGACACAAACCAGCGGCCTCCTCCCATGCGCCTTCTCCATTTTTCGGCCTCCAAATATTCTTTCAAGGCGCTCTCTCCCGCACAGTCAGACTCGCTAGCCTTCTCTGAGACACAGAGAACCCCCCTAACACTTCCTTGGGACAACGGCGGCTCTTCTACAGCAGATAATGGCCGTGCAGATCCTTCAGGAATTGCTGCGGGCTCCACGCTCCCCTCTGCTTTGCTTGCGGAAGACCCTGCAGGCCCCTTTGTCTCCGTGCGTCCGGTTGACGTACCAGGGCCTCCTGCGGATTCCCCCACAGTGGCTGCACGGGGCTGCATGCGTTTGTGGGGAGCCCCGCCAGCCCTTTTTGGGGCTTCCTTTTCGCCAGCACAGGATAAAGTTCTACCCGTCCTGTGCTTTTCTGTCTCTCTGAATCGCAGGCGAAAAGTCTCTCTTGCCCGCGTGAGCTCTCCCACTGCCTTCGAGGCGTATTCGCCCCGTAGCCGCTGGAACAGATCCCACGCTGCTGCTGCTGCTTTTGCTGCTTCTGCGCTTACTGAGTCGGCTGCTGGGGCGCTTGAGCTTGCCGTTGCTTCTCCCCCTGCTCGCCCTGCAGAACCGGCGACATTGTCCTGTGGCGGCTGCCGCTGAATTTCGTATCCCTGCTCTTTTGAGCTGCTGCTGCTGCTGCTGCCGCTAAAGCACGCACCATTATGGTCCGTGGCTTCTGCGTCATACGAATGCTGCTTGCCCTCCCGAGGAGCAGCTGGGCTGCTGTTGCTTGCCCGCTCAGGAGATGTTTCATTGGCTGCTGCGCTGTGGGAAAGGCCGCTTGGGAAGGCGGCCATAGAGAGTGTGTCGTATAGGTTGTAGGCCGCATGTATCTGCTGCAACTTGTCTATGTGGTGTCGGCCAGCAATGAGTGGCTCTAAGAGGCTGGGCTTTAAAATCAGCGGCCTCACATTTTCCTGGGGGTTCCCCAAATGAGCAGCAATGGAAAGAGGCAGCTCGGCACCCCCTAAAGAGCGCCGCGACAGCTCCAGCACGTGCCTGAGACTCGCATAGCCTCGAGCTACAAGCCAAAAGCCTTGAGCCGATCCACTACCCCACAGCCACAAACTACAGCTAATAATAATTCGCACTCGAAACTCTAATATCTCGATCCTGCCAGAGACACGAGTGTGGACAAGCAACCCTAGCCTGCGCGCGCTGAGCCATTAGCCCTTAACCCTGACACACTTACAGGTAAAGCAGAGCAGCACGAGCTGGCCGGCCCTCCAACAGTGACAGCCCAGCAACTCCGTTCACTTCTGCGCAATACGCCCGCAGCGCCTCTTCAAGCTCCACCTGAACGCCCAGGGCTCCAGCCTAAGCTCCACGAGGTACAGCCTCATGTGCCCCTGGCAAACGCTGGCTTGAGGCTTGTGGAGGGTTTCTCGTTTAGCATAAAGCCACAGAAATGCAAAAGGGAGTATTGGTGAGGGCCCACGTTTTAAAATTTGGGCTTTATGTCTAATAAAAGGTAATAAAGTCTGCGAATAAGGTTCAGGGTTCAGCAGTGAGGCTTAAAGGAATTTATGAATTAGGGTGTACTCGAGCATCGGCGAGAAGGCGGCAGAGGACCTCATCCATCGACATGTAGCGGCCAAGCCCCTCCAAAGCATCGGTTTTCCGGTTTGCTGCAGTAGATGTGCTGCTGCTGCCGCTGCTGCTGTTGCTTCGTCGACTGCTGAGGCCAAGGGCCCCAAGCTGAGGATGGTTTGCTGCCTGCCGCAGCACCAGTAGCATCCCAACCATTTGTGAAGAGAGCGCAGCCGCCATGTGCGCCCTTCGAGCAGCAGCAGACGCTGCTGCTGCTTCTGCTGCTGCCGTGCCAGCTCCCTTCCCCGCCTGCTGCGCCTGCTGCTGCTGCAGCTGCTGCTGCCGACTGCTCAGCCGCTGTACACGCTGTGCTACAGCCCGCTGCTGCCGCTGGTAAAAGAAGCGCTCCACAGGCCCCAATTCGACATACACATCGTGTATTATGGGAGGGGGTACCCCTAGCTCCTCAGCTACCTCTGACACATAAACCACACACCGTGGACTCCAAGGATTGGAAAGGTAGGCTTTAGCGTAAAACGTGTGTGCTAAGCTTTGAGCCAAGAACTACAAAGTGCAAATCAGTACGCTTTGCTTCAAATCTTAAAGGTAAACTCCAGGCTAGGCGGCCTAAACTCTACGCCTTCTCCTTGGGCTCTTCACTGCAAATGTCACCGCTCATGTCCGTCCGCCAGATAAGAGGAGCCAACAAATCCACAGCAGCATTTAGCGCGAAGCCCGTGAGGCCCCACTGCGGGCCAACACGAGCCTCCACAGTGCCTCCACAGCTGCTGCTGCTGTCTTTGCTGCTGCTGCTGCTACTGCTCTTCACTAAGCAGTCGTCCTCTAGGGCGCCTTGTGCAAGGGGTAAGGAAAGGCCCTGAAACGCTCGCCTACAAATAAACCCCGATATAAGAAACACAGAGCCCTAGGCCCTGGCCCTCAAGCCACGGAAACGCAGCCGTGGGGAAACGCTACAGCAGAAACTGCGGCAAGTCCACCAAGCAAGCACGCTGGGGCCCTAATGCAGCTTCGTCCCCACCACGCCTAGGCTGTAGGCGCTCACTGAAGCAAACAGGGCGAAGACAGATGGGGAGAATCTGCAGAGAAACGAAGGGCGGCCAGGAGACCCGCGAGCTCCTTGGGCAGCAGCGAACCTCGAGGTGCATGAGGGCTCCCCCAGAGGGCCCCCTGGGGCCCTTCTGCAGCTAACTCGTCTAGCAGCGGGGTGCCAGAGACGCACCAGCGGTGAACGGCTTCTATAGAATGGCAAAGCCGGGCAGCCCCGCTAAAGCCTGCAGTGGAATCGAAAAAGACAAATAAAGTAGCATCTTAGCTTTCGGTTTGGGCCTTAGGACATAAGGGCTAGGTGTACACAGTGCCTGAAACGGAGAGAACAGAATGAGGTACTGCAGCACAGAGCTTAGGCCAAGCCTATATACGCAAAGCCTGTACGAAGAAGCAGCAGCTCCAGCAGCAGCAGAAACAAGAAGCAGCAGCAACAACAACCCAAGAAGCAGCATCAGCAGGTTACCGCCAGCTAGCTGGGCCTCATCTATGACAAGTCGCCACCAGCGAACTCCCAAAATAGGGGAAAAGAGCTTGCGGTACCGTTTAACTCCTCGCAGAGACATGCTGCTGCTGGTGTTCGTGCTGCTGCTGCTGCTGCTGTTGCTGAAGTTGAGTGGCGGGGAGAACCAAACTTCCTGCTGCAGCGAATCAAAGGGCACTATTACTAGGTCATGCTCAACCAGCTGCGACGCGAGCACGTGAGGTCCTTGTGGTGGCCCTCCGATTGCTGCTTCCACTGCAGCAGCAGGTACAGACAAAGAGGGACGGCCGCCTTGAGAAGTATCACCCTCTGCCGCAGCCGCTGCAGCAGGAGCCCCCCTGCCAGACCGCGCTCGCGGCAAAGCAGGCGCTACGCCAGGCGAAACAAATTTCGCCTCCGCCCGCGCGACCGCGAGCACCTGCAGGCGCACAGCGCAGGCAGAGAGCCTCAAGGCCTCGGCTGCACTTCATGGAAGCCACCCTGTGAAGCTGCGGCCAAAGTGCTGAGCTCTGCGCGCTGCTGCCGCAGAACCCCAAGCACGGGCAAGAAAATAAAAGGCCATTCATGCCCTCGGGCCTAAGGTATAGGCACTGTAACGCCTCACAGTGTTTGCTAAGGCGGCTCTCGCAGGCTTCAGGCCAGGGTAGACAGCGACCTTGAGAGCGCCATTGCAATGGACAGACACCTCGCGCCGCCACTGGTCTACAATTGCTGCTGGGCAGACCAAAAGGGTTCCTTTCACCTCTGGCAGCTGGCTGCTTCTGCTGTCGTTGCTGTTGCTGCTCTTCGGACCAATGCTGCCGCTACCGCCGTCGCCACTTTTGGTGTTGCTGCGACTCTTGCTGCTGCTGCTCCAAGCCTTAGTTTCTTGCTGTTGGGCAACGCAAAAGGGGCAGATGAAGGGGAGCGATACAGGCGCCCCCGGGGAATCGGCGACACAAAACACATGAGAAAAAGCGAGGCAACAGCTGCATTGCACGACTGCCAGGAGCGAAGCTTCTTTCCCTTGCTGCTCCCTCTGCTGCTTCCGCTGCTGCTGCTGCTGCTGCACACGTCTCCGCGCAGGCGCATGAGGAGCCCACCGCATCCCCCCTTTTATATTCATGGGCCCCAGCGAGTCAAGCCCACAAATGCAGCAAATGCGAGCGTCAGGCGGCATCTCATCTCCCCACCGGCAAGCTGTTCCCTGTATTGTCGCTGCTGCTGCAACTGCCTTTGCTACTGCAGCTGGCCCTGCTGCTACGGTGGCAGCACTATGGTCTGCTGCTGCAGCTTGCTTTGGTGGTGCCGCTGCTGTTTCTGTTGTTGCAGCGTGCTGTGCCGCCTCTTCCTGATCTGTAGATGTTCCTTGGATCTCAGCGTCAGCAGTAGGCACAGCTGCATCAGATGCTGCTGCCGCAGGTACTTCTGCTGTTTGGGGCTTAGGGTTCGCTAGAACCAATGCTAGGACCTCTACACTCTTTCCAAGACCCATGGAGTCGCACAGTAGACCTCCTGGGACGTCAAATCCGACTGAGGCCTCGCTTGCTGCGGCTGCTGCTTCTGCCTCTGCTGCTGGTCCTGCTGGTGGTCCCAGGGATCCAGCAGCAACCTGACCAGTTGTGTGGTTGATCCAAACAGCAGCACCAGAAGGCAGTACGACTCGATGCCACACCAGATTAACTTGCTGCTGCATTAGCTGCTGGTGCACTAGTGCTCGCAACTGCTGCTGCTGCTGCCGTCCAAGCACCCTCTCCCACTCCCTGACGCTTTCGCTGCTGCCAATGCGGGTGCTGCTGCTTATGTATTGCCGCCACTCTCTTGATAAGGCAAACAGGACCGCCCTCTGCTGATATGGGCGCAGGCAACACTGCAGCCCCGGTGGCTTGAGGAACTCTACGCCCACAAATGGGCCAACGCGCTTGCTGTCACAGCTGCAGCTGGAAATGCTCCTGCTGCTACTCGTGGAGTCGCTGCTAGAGGTACACTTGCTGCTGGAGCAGGTATCGCTACTGCTGCTGCGGTGGTCGCTGGGGGGTTGCTGCTTGGAGCTGCTGCTTTGGCTGCTGCTGCTACTGCCGTGCTTCTCTTGAAGCTGCAGTGCATGCAGGACACGCCGCTGAGAGACGAGGCTGTAAATGAAAGAAGGGCTGACGAAGAAGTGGCGCAAAGCTGCGCCTCCTTGTGCGGCTGCTCCTGCCGCTGCTGCTGCTGGCAGCAACGAAGCCTGACCCAACATCCGCCCGAACAACCTGCAGCAGCAACCCAACAGCACAGTCTCGCAAACGGCAGCAGAAGTTGCGCCACTAGAAGGAGCCATGAGAACCCCAGTGCCTGTACCACTTGCATAACATATCGTGCAGCAGGAAGCAATCAGATGAGCAGCAGCAGCTACGGCAGCAGCGGCAGCGCCAGCAGCACTAGCAGCAGCAGTAGCAGCGGCAGAAGCAACAACAACAAAGCCAGCGTAGCCCTCATGACTAGGAAGGCCAGCTGTTGCAGCAGTGGCAGTTTCTTCAGCAACAGCAGCATTGCCGCCGTCATGGGCAGCCGCAGCAGCAACAAAAGCGGCAGCAGCTGACCACTGTGCTGCTTTGACTCTGCACTCCGAGTAAAGAGGGAACACATCGCGGGGACGCCCACAGCGTCTTGTCATTAGGCACAGAGAGACCTCAATCGACCACAGCCACCCTTTGTTGTTGTTGCTGCTGCTGCTGCCAAAGGGTACTAGGCCTTCAAAAGGCTCCGCGGCAGCTGCGCTGCTCCGCTTCTTGCGCATTGACGCCTTCCGCCTACAGCCTCTTGCTGCTGGTGCTGCAGATGCTGTTTCCTGTTCTGCTGCTGTTGCTGCTTGTGGGGCATCGGAATCATCGGCAGAGGCAGCAGCACCAGCAACAGGTGCATCTGCAGATGTAGCATGGAGTAGCGCTGCGCGGAGGCAAAGCGGCAACAGCTGCTGCTTAGCTGTTAGCAGCTGCAGCAAGTCGCAGCCTAAAGTCTTCGCTGCAGCATCTGCCCGTAGAATGCACGTGGCAGCGACGCGGGGAGCAGCAGCAGCAGCAGTAGCCGCTGCTGCTGCTGCTGCTGCTGCTGCTGCAGGTGCTGCTCCCGCTACTGCAGATGCTGCTCCCGCTGCTTCAGGAGCAACAGGAGCTGCTCTTGTCCCTGTTACTACTCTTGGCATGCTTGCTGTGTCGCTTTCATTAGCACTCTCTGTTGACTTTCCTGCTGCTGCCACTGCGTTTATTGTGGCTGCTGCTGGTGCTGCTGCGGCTGCTGCAGCTGGTGCTGTAAACGGACGCTCAGCAGCTACAAGAGAAAGGCGAAGGCGTCCAGGGCCGTTGGCCTCCAAAAGAGCACCGAAAACGTTCCTGCAGCCGCAGATGTGCTGCGCTGTTGCTGCCGCAGTCTTTGCTGCTTCTGTTGCGGCCGTGTGAGCCGCTGCTGTTCCATCCGTTGCTGCTGCGTCTGCTGTCGAAGTAGTATCTACTACCGCATCATCCGCAGCGCATGATACAGAGGCCTGACTAATTGCGTCTGCTGCAGCTGTGGCAGCTGCTGCTGCAGGTGCTGCAGGGGGAGCAGCTGCTGCTGCAGGAGCTGCAGGAGCAGCTTGTACCTTTCCACTCTCCCCTGCTGCTGCAGACAACTCAGGGGCAGTAGCTGGCTCACATTCTTCGCGCTGCTCCAATAAACAACGCCTGAGGCGACGGTAGGGAGTCCCTGATGCACTCTTAATGCTGCTGCTGCTGCTGCAGCTGCTGCTGCTGCTGTTGCCGCTGCCACAGCGCCAGCAAAATGCAGACGGTGGCCCTTCGGAAGCGACTTGGAGAGGGCCCCAAGTGTACAGGCACTCCACGGCTCCCTCTGATGCTGCGTTTGCTGCAGCCCGCAGTAGAGCCCTTCTCTTTGCGTGCTGCTTCTGCTGCAGTTGCTCTTGCTGCTGCTGCTGCCGCTTCGAGGATGCCTTCCTGCTACAGTCCGAGTTGCCGCTCTCATCGCTGGAATCAATATGCTGCTCCTGGTCATGCTTCAGCAGCAGCTGCTGCAGCAGCGATCCTTTTGGCTTTCGCTGCATTTGCTGCTGCTGCCGCCGATGCTTCAGTTCAACTGCTGCTCCCGCTGATTTTACCGAGCCTCCGGAAGCATCATATTAGGCCCTTCCAGAGCTGTAGTTGGCTTGTCTATCCGCTGCTGCGCAGCAGTTTCTGCTGCTGCTTTCTCCGGCGCAGTGACTGTAGCTGTGGTTATGCCTGCTGCAGTTGTCGCTGCTGTACGTGAAAAATGTCTGTAGGTGCTTCCCGCTGTCCCCAGCACGGATCGCTGCTGTAGCCTGCTGCAGCAGCCAGAGGAACAATGCCACAGGCTGTGAGCACTGTAACGAGCCACTGCAGCAGCAGCACGGTGACCTTTTGACCTCAATCTGCTAAGACCCCAAGGTCGTGGGGAGAACGGACTGCTGCTGCTGCTGCCAGTTGAGTTGCCAGTTGAGTCTATTCCTTCTAGTGTTGCAGCTAAATCAGAGCCCATACGGAAGCTCTTGCAATGTTGCTGGAGCTTTTGATGTTGCGGTTGCATCTGCTGGTGCTGCTGCTGCAGCTGCTGCTGCTCGACACAGGCCACGCCTCAACCAGCGGCCCCTCAGCCAGCGGTTGTGGCCTATTTCCCAGAGCCCTAGAAGGCCCTAAACGCTCCCTTGAAAACGCAATTAAAGCCAAGTTACTGTTGTTGCTGATGTGGTTGAAGCTGCTGCTGCTCCTGCGCTTCAGCGGCAGCGGGACCCCGAGCAGTGTCGGCTGCGGCAGCAGCAGCAGCAACTGCAGCAGCAGCAACTGCCGCAGATGCCGCTGACATTTCAGCTCAGCGCTGCAGAACAGCTCGCTGCTGCTGACTGTCTTTGTGCAGTTTTTGCTCCCGTACTAAATACTTCTCCTGTACGCGTTATAACTGCCATAAGTCTTACTGCAACTGCTGAGGCTGCTTAGGCTGCTCCCGCTGGGGAGACGCATCAGCAGGCGCCGCATTGCTGCTCGGGACTTAAGTGCGGTGTGCAAAACCTGCTGAACATTATGCTAAGGGCCTGCTGCTCGTAGCCGCCGGCAGCAGCAGCCGCAAGAGCTGGCCCCCAGCCCAGGGCACAGCAGCAACAACGGCAGCGGCAGCTGCTTGTGCAGCTGTTCCGCTGGCCGCAGCAGCATTTCTTGCAAAGTTGTCGCTGCTCTGGAAGCAGCTGAGCCTGCAGCACAATGATGCATGCGCCTGAAGGGCCGCTGCTGCCCATAGACTATGGCGTTGCTGCTGCAACGGGATCGTCCCCAGCAGCAGGGTCACCAGCAGCAGAAGTGTTGCCAGCTACAGTTTCTCTGGAACAATTGCAGCAGCTTTTGCAGGATGTGTGGGCAGCGGAGGCTCAGGCGAAGCAGCAAGTGCTGCAGCTGCTGCAGCAGGGCGAGGAGCGCGTGCGCGGCTTTCAGGTGTCTCTGCAGCAGCAGCAACAACAGTCGCAAACGCTGTGCACTAGGCTGCTGCTGTTTCAGCAGCAGCTCATGGGGAAAGGCCCCAAGAAAGAGTCCCTCGCGTTCCGACTGCAGCGGCGGGAGCAGCAGCAACTGCGGCTGCAGCAGCAGCTAGGGGTAATACACGAAGCAGAGACGTGCCTTCTGCAGGTACAGCGGGTGCAGCAGCAGCTAGCAGCCTGTCTAGAGCTTCTGCAGCAGCATCAACTGCTCGCAGCTGCTGCTGCGCTGCAGCAGTGCGCACTGAGGCTGCTGCTGCCGCTGCTGGCTGCCACACAGGGACCCCAGCGGCCGCCGGCCATCTCTCAGCTGCAGCAGCAGTTCGCTGAGGTGTACATACACCTGGTCAAGGCCCTAGACCTGCGCCTGCAGCAGCACATAGAGGTGTCTCGGCAGCAGCTCACGGTCACTCCCCTCTTGCGCAGCAATGGCACCATGGACAGCTGCAGCAGCAGCTGTACCGGTGCGGAAGCAGCAAGTGACGTAGCAGCGGCTGCTGCAGCTAACGACTCTGCGGCCCGAGATGGCGCGAATGCAGCAGCAGCAGCAGCAGCAGAAAGAAATGGTACAGCAGCAACAGCAGCAGAAGCGGTGTTGCGTTTGAGAGATGTATGGGAAGCCTTAGGGCATCTGGGCCTGCTGCGCCGCCGCCTATATAGACTCACACAGAGCATTAGCAGCAGCACGCTTCAGCCTTTGTTTGCTGTTGTTGCTGCGGCCAAAGGCAGCAAAAAGAAGCTAATTTTTGGAGCTTCTCGAGATGAAAGAGGGAGCCACGGGGCATCGTCTGTGACTTGGGGCTGGGTTGCTGCTGCTGCGGAGGACACTGCAGCAGCAGAAGCAGAAGCAAAGGAAGTTGCTGAAAAAACACCACAGGGGCTGCTTCCAGTGCTGGAGTCCCTGCTGCAGTTTGTGTGGGACCACGCAGCAGATAAGCAGCAGGAGTGCATGCGCACTTGGGCCGCGCTGATCTGGAAGGATCTGGAGCAGCCGCTGCTGCAGCTGCTCTTGGAGACTTCCAGTGATCAGCAGGAGCCCCTGCGGCTGCACATGGGAGCAACAGCAGCAGCGGCAGCCCCCGGAGGAGCAGAAAGAGCTGTTTTACCATTTCTCGCCAGTGCGGCTTCTGCTGCTGGGATTGTGCAGATGGAGCAGCTCCTAGTGCTGCATGGACTGCAGCAGCAGCAGCCCAATAGACGGGCAGCTCGAATGGCAGCAAAGTGGCTGCTCGATGTGTACATACAGCGCAGCATCGAACTGCTTGAAGGAGCACGGCATCTGCTGCAGCAGGCAGCAACCGCAGGGCTTGCTGGTGCTGAGCAGGGCACAGTTCTGGCCACAGAAAACAACATCCCCGGCAGCCTCCGTGGCCTGCTGCTGTTGCATTCAGCTGCGGGACCGCAGCAGCAAGAGCAGAAGCAGCAGCGCTTGCAACTGCTGCAGTGCATTGCCGAGGAGACAGATGCTTCCCTAGTGCAGCTGGCCCCTCTGAGAATCACCCGCCAGAGTTGGCTGCTGCTGCAGCAGCTGCACGGCCTGCTCCGGGCAGCAGCAGCTGCTGCAGCGCGTTGCAGCTGCAACAGCAAATCCAGCGCGGTGCCCTGTTGGTGCAGCAGTAACAAAGGCCGTCCCGGTGGCTGCTGCACCAGCAGCAGCTGCTGCTGCAGCCGCGTTGCAGCACGTGCTGAGGTTGCTGCTATCCTCTCAATTAGCGACCTGTTTTGCCTGCTGAGGTCCCTGGGACCTGTAACTAGCCCGGCGGCGACAGAGACTGCAGCACCTGCAGCAACAACGGTTAATGTAGGTGCCCTCGCATTGAGGTGGACAGACACTGAGGTAATTTCGCGTTGGCTGCTGAGGATGCCGCTGCTGTTTGCTGCTTTGGCCGCAGAAAAAGGCGGCGGGGCACACAGCCGCTGCAGATGCAGCAGCAGCAGCATCAAGTGCTGCGACTGTCCTGCTGCCGCAGCACGCCGCGCATTTTCCCTTTTGGACGACTGCCTACCTTTATTTGACTTTGATGCATTAGTTGCTGCAGCGCCTACAAGCAGAGTAGCTCAAGCAGCGGGAGGCGCTGCTGCTGCGGCAACTGCAACACCAGCAGTGCAGCAGCACAATGAGGCGCCCTTTCGGCAGCAGCTGGCGGAGATCAGCGTGGCGCTGAAACGGCAGCAAGAGGAGACGTATCTCGTCATGGTGAAGGGGCTGCAGCAGGAGTTGCAGCAAGCTTCAAGAGAGCTGCACGAGCTTCTGACAGCAGCAGCTACCAGCAGTGGCAGCAGCAGCAGCCTTGAAATTCATATGGAAGCTGCTGCGGGGGTTCTCACCCGGCAACTTCACTCTGCAGCGCTGGAGCTCCTGCGGGTGCTACCTATTCAGGTGCGTCATAAATCCGAAACCCTACTTCTGCTAAACCCCTCATCCTATCTCTGCCTTTCTCTGAGGATCCACGTGTGTTTCTTCCACTCGACGACCATCCAGCTGTGGCTGCTAGCCGTTTTTCCATAAACACTATTAGTTCTGAGATGTAGGTTTGTCTTAGTCCGTCGAAACTGCTTGTGTACCTTCTTATGGTCAAGTCATAAACTTAGGTCCTGCAGCAAGGCTGCACACCGGTAGCCAAAGCCTTCTTTTTGCTGCAGCAAAACAGGCAGCGGTGCCACAAACTAGAGGTCGCATGCTGTCAGAGTCGTGATGATTTGCCACGCCGTCTACTGCTGCTACTGCTATTGCTGCTGCTGCAGGTGTACGCGGAGGTAGTCGGTCTGGCAGCAGACTGCTTGATAGATAGCGTGCTACGAGCCGTGCTGGCTGCAGCATTGGCTGCAGCACCGTGCATCAGTACTCCCGAAGCAGCAGCTGTTGTGGCTGGAAACAGCACAAGCAGAGCAGCAGCGCAGCGCGTGGGGCCTCTTTGCTGCAGACTGCTGCAGCATGTCTGCACCCAGGTGAAGGCCACGTTGCTGCTGCACGTACAGCGTCAGCAGCTGAGACCGGAGGCGGAAGGATCTTCGGATACTGCTTTTGCAACGGACGAGCTGGCTTGTCTCTTAGCGCAAGACGGGGCCCCAAATGGTTCAGACAACAGCAGGCAGCAGCAGCAGCAACAGCAGGCAAAGCAGCAACAGGGTAGCCCGCTTCTCACGGAACAGCTTGCACCGCTCTTGCAGGTCGCTGCTGCTCTTCAGAAAGTACTTGAGGCGGATGTGCTGCTGCTGTTACAGTTGGCAGCAACTCATCCACTGCTGCTGCAGCAAACGTTTCGACCGATAGAGCAACGTCTCGCATTGCTCTCTCTCAACCCCTTTATTGGGAGCGCTCCCCTAGGGGCCCGCAAGGAGGTGTTCTGTGGTTTCACAGGTGCTACTTGAGGCCCCCTACGAGGGTGCCTACAGAGGTCTCCTTCGGTGCCAAGGCTTGGAGGGATCTAGGATGGGCTTCGCTAGGGCACCGGCTTAAGAGCCGTTGCTCCCCTGACGCTCCCCAAAAGGGCTCCCTTCACCTGTCATTTCGAGCCTGGGGGTTCATTCAGGAGATGCCCCGCTGCCACTTTGTTTTGTAGTTGATTTCCAAGCGGCCCTTGACGGAGTGCTTGGGGTCGTTGGCTGTTGGAATTCGGGTTGACTCTTGTGTATGCAGTGCGATAAGAACAGACCCCCACTGACTGTGCGGGGCTCATTTGGATCCAAGTATGCAACGAACCTTAGAATAAAAAATTCCAAGCTTGTGTAGACTATGCTGAGAGTTCAGGGTGGTGTGTGTCCTCGGCCTTTCCAAGAATTCATTTAATCCACAGCTACAAGGACAATACCACCAAGTATATGATTTGCCTTCAGTACTGCCGCTGCTTCTTCGAGGGCTCAAAGCTTAGGACTTGGCTTGTGCCTTACACAGTCGCTCATCTGAGGCCCGTATGAACTTCAGGATGTCTCCGCGAGCCCCTTTGTTCCAGCTGAGAGGCCCGCCATCAGTCTGTGCCATGAGGCGGCCATTGATGAAACTTAAAGAGACCTGAAAAGACAACGTGCCGCGTTAACTCACGCTTTGGGCCGTGCCTTCATGCAGTTAGCCGAAACTGCAGAAGGCGAAAAGGCAGGCACTAAGCCGTAGCGGCTGTTGCCGCTGGGGCTGCTCGCTGAAATATCGGCGCCCCATTTAGAGGCATGGAAGAAGAAAATAAAAAGTGACAGGAGTAGATATCGAGAAGGCAAATAGACAAAAGAAAATAGTAGCAAGCATGCAATGGCAATTAACGAAGTACGTCACTAGGATGTCGGCGCCCTTCTACCAACCTGTGTGTCTCCGTAGAAGTAGACCCCTTCGTTAACTTTAGTCCAACGCTGAAACCCCGCGTTGTTGTTATGCACCTCTGCCAAGGCAGCATCAAGAGGCCCCCAAGCAGTCCGCGGGTGGTCTCCCCCGCAGACACAGCCAGGGGGCCCACCTGAAAAACGACATAGAGATAGCAA